ACCTATATTAAATGATAGATGCTTATTATGACAAAATGTAAATAATAATACGATATAAAACAGAGTAAACAGTTAAGCGACAAAGTATGTCTTGGAAATCATTATATTTTATTTTAATATAATATTATAGATTATTCAAAAAATATTGGATAGAGTCATGAAATTTAGTTGTTTTGTTATTCTTCTCTATTCAATATTTAAAATATTAATGTATTTTTCAAACATTGTATCTATCGCAAACAAAATGCAGATTTCATAAATAATAGTTTATTCTTTGATCAGTTATCACTATGTGTTTGTACTAGAAATTGATTAATGAAATAAAATATTTGAGGTGAGAAAAAAAAACAAAATAGGTAGTTGAAATAATCGAAAATAATTAAGAAAAATAAATAATTTTGTTTTATATATTTTTTTGTTTAATCCTATTTTAATATTAAATATTTAGACGTTATACTAATAAAAATTTCAAGTTGTATTATTTATTAATTTTATTAACTTATATATAGGTTATCCTCACGTTACTTCATTACATCAAACACGTAGAGTGTTTTACTTTTTTTCCTAAAATTGACTAATTAAATACTAACGAGGTTAAATTAAAAAAAATACAAGTACAGTTAATTACTTACCTATTATTTAGTTAGGTGTTTGGGAAAATATTTCAGGACATCTTCTCTTAAATCTAGAATATTATAGTGCAATTGCATATGGATATGGTGGAGGCAGACGTAAACAGTTTAATAAAAAATAAAACGATAGTAGCGGAAGTAAAGAATATAAATATATAATACAACATAATACATTAATACCATACGGCGGACGTAAACAATATAAGATTTAGCAATGTCATCGAACTTCATGAAAGACAGGTATAAAAGAAGATGTTTATTGGGTTGGAATTGATGGAYAAAAACAAATTGTCAAGGTTATTTTTATTGAATATATTATATTATATATATGTCATATGGTAAGTTCTGATGCAGTGAATACGTTTTGAGAGTTTATTCGTTCAAATTCATTACTAAGATGAAGACATCAAATGTTTGTGTTCTCGTTATATCAGCATTAGTTGTAGCCCAGGAAAGTATTTTTAAACTTCTACTCTATATTAAAAACTTGATTTTAATTGTATGAATGATAATTTTTGCACAGGTTTCTTCTGAGGTTACTGAGCTCGATAAAATGGCCCTCACTTTGTTTCAATCTTTGGTTGATATTGTTGAAATACCGTATAGAAAAATTGAAAATATTGTAAATCCATCGGAAGCCGGTATAGAAAAAGAACCATTTTTAGATGATCTTATAATCAAACTTAAACGGAAGAAGGAAGAAATTGAAAAGGTAATAATATTTTTTAAGTAATTAATTTACTGTATAAAATACAAAAAAATATAATATAATAGGTAGTGTAACTATTTTTTTTAAATTGTATTTATGATTAGGTAGATAGATTTTTAAGGRCCACTTTAAAGAACCATTGTTGTGCTCTTTATTCTTTGTGTTTTTAATGAATCGTTAAAATAATAAAGTAAAAAAATTTTTATAAAAAAAAAAGTTCTGGAAAATAATTACTTGAGAAAATATAAATGTATTATTAATGGTTATGCCTATTTACAAAAACACATATTTAAATACTCAAAGCAAACTTATT